TCCCCCACCTTTCGCACAGTGACTGCTGGATATGGGCACCAGTGACCTCCGCAACCAGAAAAGGAAGAAGCAGGTAAAAGATAATGGATGGATGGATGGATGGATGGATGGATGGATGGATGGATGGATGGATGGATGGATGGATGGATGGATGGATGGATGGATGGATGGATGGATGGATGGATGGATGGATGGATGGATGGATGGATGGATGGATGGATGGATGGACGGACGGACGGATTATTAAAGCATGTGTAGACTACCAGCTTTACCAAACTGCTGAACAATAAATACCTAAACAAGATTAAAAAAACAAACAAACTTTGTTTATTAAAAGAAGAATACAGAAAAGGTAAAACATAACATGAACCCAAGTTTAAGGAAGTGTAACGATAGTCATGTTTAGGCACAACAGGGAGGGGAAAAAAGCCAGATTTTAGTTTTATTCTGCAACAATAACTTTAAATTAAATAAAATTTTAACAATGAAGCAACAGCATTATTCATCTAATTTGAACTGTAGACAACATCTGACAAGCCATGTGTCAAAGATGTTTGATAAATTCCAAAACTAAACACAATCACTATTGTATTAATAAAATAGTACAAAAAAGTACATTGTCTACAGCTTCCAAATCCATCTTTGCATATGTGGTGTGCCGAGCACCGTTCTTCACATATGCAAAAATGAATACATTTTGAAAGTGTGTGTGTGTGTGTGTGTGTGTCTGTCCACTGACAGGGTGATGATAGGTAATTGGACATTCAGCTATTTTTACTCTTGCTACCATTATTGTTTATCTTTGCAATAATGGCTGCCGTTATGTTTGTCTGTCTTCTCATAAAAAAGTACATTTGGACCAATCCCTCTGTTTCTGTTTGTTTCCTGTCCTCTCCAACCCCAGGTTGTGAAGACAGGCTGCCACTCATCCTGAACCTGGTTCTTCAAGTTTCTTCCTGTCAAAAGAAAATCATTCCTTTCCACTGCTGCCTCTGTACTGCTCAGTTTGGGGATTACACTGAAGTCAACATTTGACATGTTCTACTAGATTCTTCATATCAGTGGTGTCCAGTCCTGGTCCTTGAGGGCTCCTGTCCTGCATGTTTTAGATGGTTTGTTTTCTCAGCACACTGGATTTGAATGCATGGTGATTATCACGCTCCTGCAGAACCTGCAGTAATAGCTCTCAAGTTGTTTTTATTGGCATTTCATTTTGTACAATGTGGTTTGTAGTGACTTTTTTGCATAATAATTGCATTGAATTTGGATCAATTTTTAACTGAGATTTGACTTAATATTTTGATCTATAATACCCTGGGAAAACTTTTGTTGGGTATTGACACTATATGTAAATAAATAAAATTGAAATGAACAACATCATCATCAAGCTGTTTGCTTAATGTGGGGAAACATGTGAAGGTCATAGTTGCAGGAGCAAGATTATAATCTCCGAACTCCAGATAGTGTCACGTTTGGGTTTTGGATTCAGAATAAGCCAAACACAAGAGAACAAAAGAACAGTTTTTATATTTTAGCTGCTGGATGGAGGAGGCAGGATCAGCTGAGTGAACAGGTCCTCACAAGCTGGAGGGAGAGAGTCACTTGTCAGCGTGGCAGCAATGATGTCACTGGCAGAGTAGCTACGGGACGTGGGGGGGCAAATGCAAGAGCGAGGTCCAGATATCGAAGCAGGGGTCATTCACAGGGAAGCAGAGAGCAAAAACCAGAGCCAAGTCGTGATCCATAGGCACAGTTGTAGAAGGAGGAAGGCAGAGTCGTTACCGTGGTCTAAGAGCTAAGACAAAATACGTAGAGGGGCAGGCAAGGCGAAGAATCCGTGTACAAGCATGAGCTCGAAACAAGGCAAGGTAATCCAGGCTGTGGCATGAAACATGAAACTACGAAGGCTTGATATTAGGGCGGCCCATGGAAGGTATAATAATTTGGCTCTGGTGGATGTGGACATGGAGTTTATAAAGGCAGGTGAACAGGTGCATGGAATGAATGCTGATTGCAGTGGAGAAGCAAGGGAGGCGTGGCGTGGAGTGACAGGAGCAGGCTTGAACTGAGAGATGGGTGATATGCAACATAAAGCATGGAAACAAACACTATGGCATGTGAGGCAGAAACTATGGCAGGAAGGGGCAGAAAACAGGTGGCTGGCATGAATGGAGCAGGGTGTGATCAAATGAGGGGTCAGCGGGGGGTCACTGACCATTACATACAGCTTAGCCTACCTTACAAATTATTCTCCTCCTCCTCAGGAAATGTAAAATCAGGTCAACCCAACAGATTCATATAATATTCAATCTGTTGCTGAATAAATAGATGTACTTGGGCGTATTTTAGTCTTGCACCTATCAACTCTAAACTTGGTTGCAGTTTGAATGTGCGCCCTTCTTGTTCGACCTACCTGCACACAGTGCAACCACTTTCTCTGTGAAGAGAGAGATTCCTACACCTTCTCTGTTGTGGCAGTAAAGAAAAAAAAAAAACAATAAAAAATGACATGTGCCCTCCTTAAAATGAGAGCAGTGATTACATGTGACTAACAAATTCTCTGCTTTGTTTTCTCTACCTGGGCCAGATATCTATAATGTGACATTGTTATGACTAAATGTACCATTATGCTCCTGCAAGTTACTATAATAAATCAACTTAAGACACAAACCTTCAAATGTAAAGAGAAGCCAAAATGTGTTTTAAAAGCCTCCATAGAGGAGGCACATTTTTTAATAGAGGACCTGGTGCCAGTTTAACACTGTTGGTTCTTCCCATAAATCCTCTTCAATTCTTTGACATCATCATCCCCACTCTCTTCAGCACCTTGTCCACATTAGGAATCAGTTTTTCATGGAAGTCCCACAGGCGTTTGTCTTCATGAAGTAGCTCCAGAGGTATGGTCCCGCCCGAACAAATGTGAATGATCCGGCTGACTTCTGGTGGAACTATATATTGTTCTCCAAAATTCTTAATTACTTCATGCACTGAGGTCTGCTCCACCATCCTGTGATGCAGGCACACAGAAGAGAGTTGAAAGAGATTTGCATTTAGATTTCATTGTGCTTTACAGCACCAATACTGTAGTTTAAATTATGTAAAAAATGATGGTCCATGCAGAGTTTCTAAAAATCCAAGATGCATAGAAATATGTTGTGTTCCACAAACTATATTATCAAAGTTCAATGTGATATCAAAGGTTTGTGTCTGTAAATAACTGAAGTTGTGAATGACAAAATAATCTGATTATTTCAATAAACAGTTTAGTTGTTTCTCAACCTACCTTGGTTGAATGATCATCTTGTATGGATGGTATTCTTTTCTATTGGGCTCTTCCCTGTAAATGTGTTCCAGAATGTTAACTCCTGGCACCCTGCGCCACTGAGGAAGATGAAACTTTCCATATGGATCAAATCGCATGTTGGAAAAGCTGTGACTTTCAAAGCGGAACACGCCAACCTGTGGAAAAAGAATAGACTTTAGAAGAAAAAATAAAAAGTAATATGCAATACTCGTCTCTTGTCTGCACACCAGGGACAACCTACGTTTGGATGCTGTTGTTGCAGCGTGTCCATCAGAGACACCAGGTTGCTGTGTTGATATGGCATGATGATCTGGTCTATGTCATGCAAAAGGACATAGCGTGAATTCTCCATGGCTCTATAAATGCATTCGTTAAGCTTGGTGGTCTGGGCATAGTAGTTTATATCCCCTCCATGTCGTGAGAATAGCCAGCCATGGGATGGATTCATGTACTTTTCGATGGGCCAAGAAATTATTTCCACAAACCCTTCTTGGGCATAATCCTGCAGAAGATGGTCAAGCTCTGGACCACAGCTGGTGTTGTAGACCACCACCCTGTTCACTCCAAGCAACCTTGAACAAAAATAATAAAATGATTAAAAATACAGATTCCGCTTCATTTAAGAAATGATTTGCTTTGATTGTTTAACTGTTTTTATGAAAACTTCATTTTTATTTTTTTGGAAATCATATATTATTAATAAAAAATAAAACAGAACTTCTCAATTAGCATGAGAAAATCATTACCAAGCTCATTTCATGGCCTCTTAATTTGAACGCACAGGAAACACATGTGCATTAATGAGAGCTGTATTTTATTTTTATGAAAAGATTTTCTTAATCCTGTTTTTTGATCCTATTAGCTTTAACAGATACTTTACAAAACATAAAGGTAGGCTTTATGTAATACCAAACATGATGAAAGAAGGCCAAAGGAAAAGTATTTATAAAACCAGAACTCGAACTAACACATTTCACTTATACGGGTTTGCCAGGAATTAGTCCATTTCTCTAATACATATATTATTTTATTGTCTCCACAGGAAGTACAAAACAAACAAATACAAAAAACAATAATAAAAATAACAAACAGATATGGTCTTTGCTTTCATAATACCCTTTTACTGTATACTTTTTTGGTACTACAGACCAGTTTTATGCAAAAAATCAAAATAAAATCCACGGTCCAGTGGCAGGGATGAGTGTGAGGGGAGGTGACATGCAAAACACAAAGTGCATCCCAAATAGTTTAATTATAAATATAATTACAATTTTAGAATTTACATGTTCATATATAATATTAGGATTTGTTAAATATAATATACTATCTACAAAGTATTATAATACACCTGATTAATGCAGTTAGCCACTGAATAAGATGCTCTCGGTGCAGACACATTTAATGTAGTGGCAGCCTTAAATAATTGTTTCTGCTTTTTGTTTTCTTTCAATAACCTTCAAAGATAAGATAAGTTAAGATAAGATAAGATAAGATAAGATAAGATAAGATAAGATAAGATAAGATAAGACAAGATAAGATAAGATAAGATAAGATAAGATAAGATAAGAACTTTATTGATCCTGCAGGAAATTGTTGCTGTTGTGGAGCGTTTTAACTGCCTTGGCAACCTCAGCCATGATTATGAAAAGACCAACCCTAAAATCCCCCAACTCAGCTTCCTCCATGGAAGATGTTTTGGTGGAACTGAGAATGTCCAAGAAGTATTCCTTCCACCTCCTGAACATGCAAAACATAACCAAATTAAAATAAATTCTGTCTTGAACCCTTTGGAGTAAATTCAAGAGCTTGGGCTCTCTGTAAAGGTAACATTACATTTTTGTCATAAATATTTTAATTGTATCTAGTATGTAGTTATTGAAGTTGAAACATGTACTAAGTAAATATCCTGGGTTTTTTTTTTCTCATCTAAAATCTTTGAATTATTTATTTATGTTTCAGCATATGGAGGGATGGGGTTATGGACTGGAAATGTCTATGTGGCTGCAGCAGCAAGTCTTACCCATTACCAATTCAACTTTGGTCACAATAGCACAAGAAATTCTTATTCTTGAAATATTTTTATGAGGGTATATCCATTCTAATTTAAAGTGTCAAAATGAAGTCCAACATGTCCACAAAACTGGACACAACATCATAAGGCTCTAACATTTATTAATCCATTTCCTCATCACTCTTACACCACTCAGCCACCTCGTAAGAGCTACTGTATATTTTCACTTTACAGTATGTTTTGCCATCTTTTAGTTGAAAATATACTGCAAAAAAAAGTATTTTCCACAAATAAAAAAAGGGCATGCACACTGGTTCAGAAAAAAAAAATCTCAGAATTAATTTCCTACTTTTTTATTATTTTGTCCACAATCATTGCCCACCCACGTGACGGTAATCGGATTGGCTATACATCTGTAGTGTCAGAACAGGCTTTAGAGCTGACTGGTCAGTTCTTTATGCAAAAGAGTGTGGGTGTCGCCGGTCATAACACGGCGCTCTGTACATATTATTGCCTCTAGAGAGACCATAGATCGACCCAGTTGGTCAAATGAGGTGTCAATCAAAAGAGGAGGGTCTACACCGACATTTTAACACCATGGTATTTAAATCAGAAGTGCCTGGTAAAGTGTAGCAGCTTTTTAAAGCAGAAAGATGCCATGATGGCTCACGGGCGGGCCATTGCAAGTTAATTTAAGCTGTTTTAACTCTATTTGCTTCACTTCCTTCAATCTATCTTTGATTGCCCAAACTGATCTATGGCAAGTATGGTGTTGACTACTCATAACCACTTTACACTACTTCAAATATACTGAAAGATGAGCTTTTAAGACAAGTAATTGAAAACTATGTTTGACCAATAAATGTTGTCTTTCTTAAATTTGAACCACTTTGTGATGGACTTAATTTTGTTATTCATGGATTCATGATCTACCTTGCCTCTCACACAACGACCACTGGAGGAAGGCCCCAGCTCTCCACAGCCCTGAACAAGGATAGGGAGGTATGGGTGAGATCAAACCAATTTCTGCAGTGACCAAAAAACGTGCACACCCCTGCGTGCTGAAACATTTGTATGCTGATGACTGTATCATGTGTAAGCCTGAAAAACATGAACTAAATCGGGGTTGTATGAGCTGCATGTTAAAGAATAAAAGCTTTAGTTTAATAATTGCAACTTTACTAACCTGTACATCTCCAGAGTCTGTGCAAACTGAAGCACATTATTGTAGTCTCCAAACAGGCTGGAAATGCAGACGGTGAAGTTCATTTTTTCCTCATCCTTTCCAACAGTTTTCTTGTTTTTTATAGGAATCCAAGTGGGGTTAGTTACGTTCTCTGCACTGGGTTGAGTCAAAAGGGTGACATGTGTAGGGTCGCAGTTCTCAGGAATCCGACACATGATGTCTGTGGTAGCAATGGGAAAACCAAAGTGGTCTGAGTGTACAAAAACTGTTGTGGGAGTAGCTTCACTTAAACGTCCAGCACAGCAGAAAAGGCAGTGGAGTGGCTGGATGGAGTCTCTCCGAAACATGCCAATGATTCGTATGTCAAATCCATTCAGTCTCTGGTCCATGAAGGCTGAGACCAGGAAATGTTTGGTATTTTTGAGAGGAGTAATGGATTGATCAGGGATTACTGATGGGCAGACAGGTGGAGGTCCACGAGGTTGTGGGATTGACACGTCTGTTCCAAGTGATCTCAAATTAAAGATGAGTATTAAGATTAATGTAAAGGTGGTGGTGATAAGGAGTGCTTGCTTGAAGTAGTTTGTCTTTCCCATTTGGACTCCGAGACAACCCAACCTAAAGCAAAAAGAAAAACAAACAAACACATAATTTTAGTTTACAGAAATAATCCATTGTCATTAAACCTGCAATACTCTTTAAATTCAAAGTCATTAAAATACACTTTTTTATTTATTTTTTTGTCCATACTCATCCAAGAGTGGCAGACTCACTGCTACAATACACAACCAAACGGTTTGCCTCTACAGTCTGTAAACAACAATAAATACATAATCTTGATAATCTTGTTGAAACCCCACAGTAATATTACATGTCTCGTGTTTTTTAGGGGAAATATCATCCGTAGAGAGAACGTTTTAAATGCTAATTTTGATCCCATAATTATTATAAAATATAATGATGCATTATTCTCAGTAATCCAACAAAGTTAAATCAGGTCATCTGGACATTTTTTTTTCTTTTTTTTGTTGAGGCATTTCGTCTTTCATCCAAAGGATTTCATCAGTCTGAGGAGCCACAAGAAACTCAGTCCCATAAATAGCACACTCACATAGTGGGCAACCAGTTTGATGATGATAAGATGGTTTCTGGAGTCTGCCCTCTTCCCCGTTGACTCCTCTGAGGCAGCCATAGCCAAAGTGGTTCAAAACATCAAAGTTCATGCTCATTCATGCTCAGGTAAAAATAATACAACAAAGTTAAGTTAGGTCATCTGGATGATTTCTTTTTTATTTTTTCCTTCTTTTTTTTGAGACGTTTCATCTACGGGAGACAGGGTGGGCCCCAGAAACCATCTTATCACCAGCAAACTGGTTGGCCCACTATGTGAGTGTGGGACTGAGTTTGCTGTGGCTCCTTGGACTGATAATGTCCTTTGTATGAAGGATGAAATGTCTCAACAAAAAAAAGAAAAGAAAAAGAAACCGTCCAGATGACCTGACCTGTGTTGGATTTTGTATCTAAATTATTGAGTATGAACTTTGATCTTCTCAGTAATGTTTCTTTTTGTTTTTATCCCTATATGTTTTATTGTTACGTAGATAGATGTAAACTTTATTGTCCCCAAGGGGAAATTTGTCTTGGACATTGTGGGCTAACAAAACTTCTTCCACAATTAAATACACTACAACCAATAAAATCATGTGAACCCCACAATAAAATACAAAAATATAAAACACCTATTAATAAAAAACACATAATTCAATAAAAACCCATATTGCACATTCCCACATACATTCCAGCAAGTAAACGACACGACAATGGGACCAGAGCATCAGCGCATAACAAAAAAAGCTATCTGCTTACTTAGTTAAACAATCTGATTAATGTAGGGACAAATTCATTTTAAAATTTGTTACGTCTACGAGCTGGGATTCTAAACCGTTTTCCAGATGGTAACAGTTCATATTGTGAGTTGAGGATGTGAGCGGGGTCAGACAGAATCAGGGACCATGACAGGTTTAATAATAATTTGGCGCTGGCGGAGAGTGAGAATGGAGCTTATAATGAGTGCCGAGCAGGTGAACCAGGAGAGATGAACAGGTGAGTGGAATCAGGGCTGAAACAATACCAGGAGGGACAGGGGCCGATGGGGGGTCAGCGGGGGATGCTGACCAGGACATTTGTTCACTGTTTTTATTTTTTATTTTTTTACATTTGTTTTAATTCACCTTATCTTTATTACTATTGGTGCTATATTCTTTTATTTCTTGTCCAAACCCATTTTTTTTTATTCCCACTGAGACCTGGTGTTTACTGTCATTTTTAAACCTAAATAGTATTTTTGTGAACAAATACGTCTGCCCACCATCATCTCATCGTCCAGTCAGCTAATGTGATGTGTCCAGTACAAACTACACAGCATCTCTAAACACAGCAGGAATTAGTTTATATGAAGAACAGAAAATACCAGAATTGATGTGTTTTATTGCAGTGAGTCTCATTTTAAGGTTTGTTTTGATAGAGCTAAATACTTTTTTGGAACTCGGACGATTTATGACTAATGATTTGTCATAACGGCAGCATGGTGGCACAACTGGTAGAGCTGCTGCCTCTCAGCGAGAAGGTTGCCGATTCAAATCCCGGCCAGAGGGCCTTTCTGTGTGGAGTTTGCAGTTCTCTGTGTGCTGCGTGGGTTTTCTCCAGGTACTCTGGTTTCCTCCCACCTCCCCAAATCATTCATGTTGGGCTGATTGGTAACTCTAAATTGTCTCTAGGTGTGAGTGAGAGAGTGAATGGTTGTTTGTCTCTATGTGGCCCTGTGATGGACTGGAGACCCGTCCAGGGTGTACCCCACCCCTCGCACAGTGACTGCTGGACATGGGCACCGGCGACCCCCCGTGACCTAAAATGGAAGAAGCGGGTAAAAGATAATGGATGGAGGGATTTGTGATAACAAGGCACATCTTGTCAAACAGATTTAATCTTCAGGTTTTCTTGTTTGACACCAGAGAGGACAGACGAGTCGGACAGCATGCAGGATCTACAGAACCTCTTGTAAAACTTGTAAATGTAACTGCAGTTTCAGTATTTTGCTTTAAATGCAAAAAAAACTGGTTTATTCACTACATCTGGTTATTCATTCTACATCATTCTTTTTCTCTTCTCTCAAAGAACACAATACAATTTGGGGAGTGGTTGTGCCGAGGTTAGAGAAGGTGGGCCCGTGATCGGAAGGTCTCCTCCCCGGACTGACAACATCAAAATGTGGGTGGGAAAGGTGAAACAACCACAACTACCTCCACCCTTGTTTCCCCCTCGCTGGGCTCCTGAACAAGGCCCTTAACCCTCCAGCTGCTCCCCGGGCTCCTTAGACGGCAGCCCTCTGCTCCACATGTTTCACACATGCGATGGGAAAAATACAGAAAATTAATTTCCCCGCTGGAAATTAATAGAGTACGATAAAAATTAAAATACCATATTCCCTATAGTTTAGATTTGCATAGCTTGCTCACGCAAATCAAGACACAATGATCAGACTTAATAATACTAATAATAATAACAATAACAATGCCTGTATAGAAATTAAATGGGTAAACAGAAGGGAGAAACCAACTTCTTTGAATTGTGCATAGATTTTCCTGTTTGACTTCTGTGCTATCAGTTATTTCGCTGACTGAGCACATACTGTTCATTAAAAAAAAAACTGTACAGCTTGTTTTTGTGTGCAAAAATAACTAGAGATTCACAATATACCTCTAAGTAATCATCAGAGATATTGTGCTATCCAAACTTTTCTAATCTGAGATGTTTTACTAAATTAAACACACCAGAGGAGTCCCTCTGTGCCTCTGATTGCAATATGAATCTTAGTGAGTAAATGGATCTTTTCACTGCTGTGAGGGACGCTGGGTGGATGAAGGTGGGGGTGTCAGTGTTTGTCATTGATGAGCGGCTTTTTTCTCAAATCTAACTGTGAAGTTTAATTTGAAGGCATTTCCCTTTGATAAACAAATCTAAATCCCAAACCAAACCTTCATTTTCAGAATAGAGGTGCAGATAAGGCCCAATTGGTTCAAAATATTTTTTTATTAAAACTCAAGCAAGCAAAAAAACAAAAAATGCCACAAAGGTTATTGAAATCATTTGAAACCGACAATAAGAAAACAAAACCTGATAATCAGTTAATGAAACTCGGCCATTGCTTATAAATTGTGGGTCACACGAGCCTTAACAGGAGAATGGCACCTCTAGAAAACATCAAAACAAATTGGACCATGGGGACATGTTAAACTGATGGGTTTTATTTAGAATCACTGTTTTTTTTTTTATCTTATAGTCAGTCGGTCTATCACTGTGCTGTTTGACACATTTAACATGGAGCACAGAAAGCTAGAAGTTGTTTCAATAGTTTAGAAAGAAAATTACAATACTTACAAGTGCGTCAAAACAAAAGTTATGACGATCTAGCAGCTTGAAGTTCCTCTGACAGTTTCTGACAGTAGCTACCTTCTCTGTATACGTCCTCAAGAAAACTGGAGACAAACTCAGCAGACTGCTGGTAAAACTAAAAACCCAAGAGCATAGAACGACTTCCAAAGAGATTAGAGGGTGACTCCAAGGTCATTAGTTTCAGATTGCATTATCAGTCCCTGTTTGACCAAAAGTGAACTTAATGGATAAGTGGACATTTTTCTTCAATAGCTTTTAAAAATATATATAATTCTATTGAACCACAATTTAGAAGCAATGACTGATTTTCATTTAAATGTTTTTCAGTAATTAATTTTTATGACTCCTTTCAGTTTTTTGTTATTTCACTGAATTTTGTGGATTTTTATTTTCTTTACTAAAATACTTATCAGCTTTATTTATAGAGCAATTTAAACACCCGTAGAATGAAAGTATTGTACATTTTCATTCAACCTTTATTTATACAGGTTAATCCCACTGAGCCTCGGGGACTCAGTTACAAAAGAGACCTGAAAATAATACACATGATTAAACATTCATGCAATCAATCAGTAAAAAAAATAAATTTTAAAGTCAACATCACAGAAGGTGTCAAAGGCCAAGGAGAAGAGATGGGCTTTAAGAAGTGGAATTCAACAAATTGAACTTACATCTATCCAGCAAAGTGAAGTCAGGTCCTCTGGACGGTTTCTTCTTGTTGAAAAGTTTCTTCTTTCATCCAAAATGCTTCATCAGGCTGAGGAGCCACAACAAACTCAGTCTTATAAATAACACCTTCTCATAGTGGGCCAACCAGTTTGATGGTGCTCAGATGGTTTCTGTTGAACGCCCGCTCCCCCACCGACTCGTCTGAGGCAGTCATGGCCAAAGTGGTTCAGAATATCCAGATTCATGCTCAGTAATCCAGGTAGAAAAATCTAACAAAGTTAAGTCACGTCCTCTGGATGGTTCTTGCTGTTGAAAC